TCAGAACCGACTCGCCGGTTATATTAATAGATCCAGCCTTATTCAAAATTCAATATTATTCAAAATATTTTTAATTTTAATTTTTTTTTGGAATTGGCCCATTTCATTCTAAGTCAAATGTGTAGAGTTGGTGGTGGTGTTCCTCTGTGCTGTTGGGGTGGCTCTGACTCAGAGTGACCCTTTGTGCAGTAGAACGAAGCCCTGCCTGGTCCTGTGCCGTCCTCAGTCCTTGCTATGCTTCAGCGCCTCGTGGCAACCACTGTGTCTCCATCTCATTGAGGGTCTTCCCCTTCTTCACTGACCTGCTTTACCAAGACACAGTTGGCCGTTCTTGCTTCTAAGGAGCGTTCCGGCTGCTCTTCTTCAGGACAGGTTTGCTCGTTCTTCTGGCAGTCCATGGTACTGTCAGTGTTCCTCGCCAGCACTCCATCTTCCTTATCCACTGCCCAGCTTTCATATGCATATAAGGCTATTAAAATACCATGGCTTGGGTGTTTTGCCTACACCTTAGTCTTCAAAGTGACATCTTTACTGTTTAACACTTTAAAAGAGGTCTTTTGCAGCAGGTTTTCCCAGTGCAGTATGATTTTCCCAGCCGTGTTGCACTGGGAAAGAGTTACTGGGAGTAGTCCCTCATTATTTTTTCAATGTCTGCAGGGGCTGTCGTGGTATTCTGTGTTTCACTCTGGATACTGGTAATTTGTGTTTTGTCTTGTTTGTTTGTTTGTTAGTCTTGCTAGCAGTTTGTCAGTTTTGTTGATCTTTCCAGATAGCTAGCTTTAATGCTCATTGATTTTCTCTATTTTTCTGTCTTTGATTATCTTGATTCCCACTCTTTACCCTTTCCTTCCTTTTGCTTGTTTTGGGTTTATTTTGCTCTTTTTCCAGCTTCTTAAGGTAGGAGGGTGAATTATTGGTTAGAGACTTTCCTGATTTTTAATGTACACATTGAGTGCTTTCAACACAACTTTAACTGTGTCTCAGTTATTGGTATATTGTGTTTTCATTTTCGTTCAGTGTATTTTTAAACTTCCTTGAGACTTCCTTTTTGATCCATGTATTGTTTAGAAATGTGTTGTTTAATTTCCAAGTGTTTGGATATTTTCTTCTTGTCATTCCCTTAACCGATTTCTAGGTTGACCCATTGTGGTCAGAGAACACACTCTTTATAATTTTGGTTCTTATTTTTTTCAAGGCTGTTTTATGGCCCATGATATGGTTGGTCTGTCTTGGCATGTGTTCTGTGAGTATTTGAAACAAGTGCTTATGCTGTTGGGTGAAGTGTTCTGTAAACATTGATTGGATTCTGTTGGCGATGGTGTTTGTGGAGTTCTGTATCTTTGCTGATTTTCTATCTGATTGTTCAGTCAGTTGAGAGAAGCTTATTGAAGTCTCGAGTATCATTGTGGGTTTGTCCCTTTCTCCTTTCAGTTTTACTAGTGTTTGGTTACATATTTTGCAGCTCTGTTGTTTGGTACAAATACATTGAGGATTGTTGTATTTCTTGATGGATTGACCCTTGTATCATTATATGATAATCCCTCTTGGTCTCTGGTGACTTCCTGCTTTGAAGTCTACTTTATCTGATATTAATATAGCCACCTCTCCTTTCTTTGGATTAAAGTTTGCAAAATATATCTTTTTCCATCCTCTTACTTTCAGCCTGTCTTATATTGTTGTATTTGAAGTGTGTTTCTTATAGATAGCATATACTTCAGATACTTGGGTCATGTTTTTAATCCACCTTGCTAATCTGTGTCTTTTAATTGGTGTTTTTAGAACATTTACATTTAAAGTGATTATGGATATGTTAAGGTTGAGCCTGCTGTTTTATATTTTGTTTTCTGTTTGTTTTTTTGCTGTTTTCTTATTCTTCCCTTCCTGTAGTTTACTTGAATATTTTTTTAGAATTATTTTGATTTATCTACAGTGCTTTTCATGTATCTTTTTGTATAGGTTGTTAGTGCTCGTTTTAATTACTATGTTATATATGCCTACTTACTACAGTAAGTAGTAAGGTGATGTCTTTTAACAGAATAAAGTATAGAAACCTTCTCTTTATGCCCTTTTACTCTTTCTTTTTTATGGTTGTTTAAGTATTTTCTCTACTTACATTTCGAGCCACATTAGACAGTGTTAGGGTTGTGTGTGTGTGTGTGTGAGAGAGAGATACATGACTTGAAAAACTCAAGAGGAAAGGAAAGTTGCTCTGTTTCCTATGTGTTTGATTAGCATGTTTTCTTCCTTCCTGATGTCCCAGAGATCTATCTTTTACCATTTCCTTTTTGTGTAAAGAACTTACTTTAGTCATTCTTTTACGGTCAGTCTGTTGGTGAAAAATTCTTAGTTTTTACTTCATCTGAGAATGTCTGTTTCTCCTTTATTCTTGAAGGATATTTTCATTGGGTATTCATGACTCTGGGTTGACAGTCCTTTTCTTTCAACACTTAGAAAATACTGTGCCACCTCTGCCCTCCATGGTTTTGATGTGCAATCTGCTGTTATTCAAACTGTTTTTCTCCTGTAGGTAAGTGTGGTGCAGTGACTTACTTAGTACGGCTTTTCGAGCCATAGTCTTTGTAGTGCCCACCAGATTGTTGGGTGGGACCCATGCAAATAAGGTGTGTAGAATTCTGATGTTGGAATTGGTTAGTTTTGTCACTTTCCCAGGCTTCAAATGAGCCTTCTAGAGGCAGAAAGCGGGGTTGGGTGGTTCTCACTGCATCAAGAAAGAAGAGCTGGAGGTGAAATGGAGCCTGTCCTTGAACCTGAGATCCCTGCACTGGACCTCCTTGGCTGAGAGACACCCAGCAGAGAGAGATCCCTGGCTGAGAGATGGCGGCAGTGGAACCAAGAGGCAGGAGACAGAGCGGTGGGCTTTCCAGAGAGAAGGCTGAGTGTCCTTGGGCAGGAGGCTTGCTGGAGTGGGTGTACCTACGTGTACTATTGGCAGAGCTGAAAGAGCTTTGTAACCCTTGACGGAGCAGGGTGGAAGACAGGCCAAGGGCCAGCGAGGCCTGCCTAAGGGCATAGCAGAGGAGAGACTGTCCTGGCTGAAGAATGGTATCCTGAGCCTGTCCCTGAACCTGAATTACAGCCTGTTACTTGCCTAATAAACCCCATAATTGTGAGTATTGTCTGTGAGTTCTGTGTGGCCACTGCAACAGATTATTGAACCCAGTAGAGAATTAATGAGTGCCGTGGAGGGGATGGTTGGTGTCAGAACTGGTAAGAAGATTTGGAGGGCGGTGACGTGTCCGGCCTCATAGGAATCAGCCTTGGGCTGCTGATGGTGATTCTGTCTTCCTCTTGTGAAGTTAGAAGAGGTCAGAAGATGCCAACCTCCTGTCCTTTTAGCAGTGAGGTGGTGGTTTTTTCTCACTGCTTTTGAGATTTTTTTCTATGTTTTTAATTTTCAGAAGTTCAGTTACAGTAGGTCTTAGAATAAATGTCTTTGGGCTTATTCTGTTTGGGGTTTGCTCAGCTTCTTGAATCTGAGGTTTATAAAGTCATTTGCCAAATTAGGGGAAGTTTTCAGCTTTTGTTTCTTGATTTTCTCCTCATTGTCAGTCATATTTTCCTGCATTTTTACATGCCTTAGACTAATTGGATGCCAGACATCATGAGCTTGATGTTGTTGGGTGCTGGACTTTTATTTATTTATTTATTTATTTTTGGTGTTCCGGATATTTTTGAACTTCATTCTGGGACACAGTTCATTGGAAAAAGTTTGAGCCTTTTGAGGCTTTCTCTTTGAACTCGATGAGGCAGGTTCTGTGTCTAAGGCAGAGTTTCAGCCTTGAGGCTGTTGACGTCTGGGCTGTGTTTGCATTTATGTACCAGTGTTGCTGGCCTCTGCCCACTAGAGGCCGTAGCACCACTTTGCCATGAGCCAAGAATGAGTTTTACATTTTAAAAAATTGTTTAAAGAAAAGGGAGCTCCGGTAGCATAGTGGCTAAGACACTTGCCTGCTAACCAGACGGCTGGTGGTTCAAACCCACCAGCCACTCTTCGGAAGGAAGGTTGGGCAATCCTACTTCCGTAGTGATACTGCCTCGGAAACCCAAGGAGGGGTCGCTATGAGTCGGGGCCGACTCCACGGCACATAACAACAACAACAACAACAAAGAAAAGAAGCAGGTGCAACTGTGACCACTGTGTGGCCCAGAAAGCCAACATATATACAGAGGAAGTTTTTTAACCTTGGTAAAGAGGACATTGTTTTCCTATTTTGGGCAAAGGGTAGTGTAAGGAAAAAGTTGTTGTTTTTCCAGTGTAGAGAGTAGTTAAGAACACAGGCTTTGAAATCAGAGAGCATGTGATTAAAGTCTAATTTTGTGTCTACCACTTAAAAATTATTTCATGTTGGGCACAATTTCCTGTTTCTGAGCCTCAGTTGCTTCTCTTGTAAATTAGACCAAAAAAAACCTCACTGCCATCAAGTCGGTTTCCGACTCATAGTGGCCCCCGTTGGGTTTCTGAGATTGTAGATTGTCCTGTCTTCCTTTCGCAGAGTGACTGGTGGATTCGAAATGGCTGACTGTCCAGTTAGCGGTCAAGTCCCTTAGGCACTGTGCCACCAGAGCTCTGAACATTGAGTTTGTAAATTAGACCACTTTAGCTCATGGAGAGTTCAATGAGAGAACAAGTTAAAGTGGATGGTGCAACGCAGTCACACAGTTGCTGTTATCAGTACTTTGTTCAAGGAACACACGCGTCCCTTGTGTCTGCTTTACTTTGACGTACATATAGATGGTCCTCACTGCCAACCCACTGCCATTGAGTTGATCCTGACCCATGGCGACCCCTGGGGGGTTTCCAAGGTGGTAAATCTTTACAGAAGTAGATTGTCCCATCTTCCTTCCATGAAGCAACTGGTGGGGTTGAACTATCAACCGTCTGATGAGTAGTCAAGTAGTGCCTTAGGCACTGAGCCCCAGAGCTCCTGTAGAGGTCCTAGTTGTGCTGCTTTGCAGGATCATTGTCTGTTCCTTTTCAGGTCACGCAGAAGGGTTCTGTATGATGTGCACGATGCAGGCGCACATCACCCAGGCCCTCAGCAACCCCGGAGACGTGATCAAACCGATGTTTGTCATCAACGAGATGCGGCGTGAGTATCTCCCATGGTAGTGTGTTGGCGTTCTGTAAGAGTTGGTCCTAATGGCCTGATGGGTAAAACATGACATCCTGTGTATTGTTTAAAAACAAGCAGATGTGTCTTATCATACATGGATATGTCTTTTGACATAATAATTCTATTCTTAGTAAAACATTTTACTATATAAATACATTTTGAAACTTTGAAGCAAAAGGTGACAATGTATTAAGACAGTGTTCAGATAATATAAGCAAATTTTAAATGTTTCTTTTAATAAAAGCATTGGTAAGTTACACAAACTCTTCCCCCCCCCAACACACACACAGCGTGCATTTGGATTTCTATGCTGAATGGTGGTAACTCTGATCAGTATTTCTGATCAGTACAGGTTTCTGTAAATAGTTTTAATTAGATGAATGAAAATTATGCCATACATAGTAACAGGAATGATCAAAATAAAGTTAATTATACTCTTAAAGAAAACTTTATGTTCAGCGAATTTGTAGTTAAATATCGTTTTTATACTGAATTTTAAAAATTCGTAAAAAAATTTTTCTTTTGGATTATAATGATCCTGAAAGGTTGCCTGGAATTGTCTTTGGTCCTTTGTGTGTGTTTTGCAGTGGACTTTTACATCATCTTAATTAATTGAGTTGGACTAAAAAAAAAAATGCAAGTACATCAAAAAAAAAAACAAAAACAAAAAACTTTTTAATCTGCTCTCCAGCTGGGTAATTACAGGGACGATAATTGTTCAGTGAGGAACGAGAGTTCTTGTGCCTGAAAAGCTGCTGGAAGTGGGAGAGGTATTACTGTGTGGCCAGAATGGATCCTGGCAGAATTTCAGCCAGGGGAAGTTTTTTCTTGTTTGTCTTTAACTTTTTAAAATACATTTATAGCAGGCATGATTTAATTGTTGAAAACCTAGTCTTTGAGAAAATGGCATCGCTGTGTACATATGTATGGATTTGTCCGCACACACACACACACACACACACACTGTAGAATCATGAAATTACCATTTCTATAGGTCAAAACAGGTAGCATCTTGGCATTCTCATATGCTTTAAGCTAAAGTGCATGCAGAGGGACCTATAATGTTTCACAGTGGTATTGTTCACACGTCTGTGTTACGTCATTTGGTCTTGCACCTACTTAAACAGAAGTCGGGATAAATGTTACTGTGAGACTGAGAGAAGATACTCTGTCCTGTAGATCGTCAGGACAGAATTGAGATAGGTTTGGACGTTGATGTTTGCATGGATTCTGTTGTCATGGAGATCTGGTACCAAAGTTAAAATGTCTACATCAACCTGTAACATTTAAAAAAGAATATGCTTTATTTTGTTGTTGAGACCACACACAGCAAAACACACCCATCGGACAACTTGTGCACGTGTAGTTCAGTGGATACACTGTAACATTTTTGACAGGTTTTTGAGACAATACAGCCAGAGTTAAATGTATGCAAGTACAGTGCCATGAACTTGCTTGTGACCTAGAACGTCTAATGAGCCCCCTGTGTGGCTTCTCTCTGGAGTTTGAGGCACTCTGGCCCTGTGGGCATTGAATGGTCTGGAGAGCACGGTCCTGGCTGCTCTCAGAATTGTGTGCATTAGTGCTAGCTCCTCGTGAAATACTATTCCCATCTTATTCTCTAACTGAAGTATTGTCGTATGATAAAGCTTTTTTGGGTACAGCCTAGGCACGTTATATGATGATGAAACTTTGCTTACATTTTGCAGGGATAGCTAGGCACTTCCGATTTGGAAACCAAGAAGACGCCCACGAGTTCCTTCAGTACACTGTGGACGCCATGCAGAAAGCGTGCTTGAACGGCAGCAATAAGTGAGTCCAGCGGAATGCCGTCGTGTCGCTGTTTGCCTGGCTTCTCACAGTTCCAAGCTGCCTGATGCGTTGTCAAAACTACACACACTGTGTTTGCTTCACCTTCATCTGTGCACTGCCTCTTTGCTAAGCTATTTGTATTGCCTTAAAAGAGTTCATGTTGACAAAGGTGTGCTCACTCTAGCATTTGAATTTGTCATCAGTCGCTGTCAGGAGAGGAGCATTGGCTTTGGCATCGCTTGGTTTTGGAGCGTCAGCTCAGTTGCGTCCATCTAAGGCTGACCGCCTCTTCTTCCCAGTCATGCCTGCCATCTTCCCTGCCAACTTACAGCCTGGGAAATCTGTGTTTGCCCCTGCCCCTGTCTTGCTCTGGTGCCAATTGCTGTAGCTTCTTCCTGAAAACCTAAATGCAGACAGGAGGTGGCTAAGGAGAGAATTCAATAACAAAGCCCACACCATGTGACACTGCCTGAGCACATCTGGTGACTGTCCTTTCCTGGTCCCATTGCTGCCCTCCTGCCTCCTCCAGGCCATCGGCGTCTGGGTGATGACAGGCCTCGAGTCGCAGAGGTGCTCTGGGTCTCTGCTTTCGTGGTCCTGCATGCAGTCTCTTCCTCTTGCTCCTTGTTCAGGGCCACACTCCTGCTACTTGGAGCCCTCCACACTCTGGTTCTTGCTGTCCTGCTCATTTTCTGCCACCCGTTGGAATCCGGTTGTGGGGTCCATGGCTGCTGCAGCCCTCTTCTCATATCCCTGTTTGACTGTTTTCAGGTTAGACAGACACACCCAGGCGACCACACTGGTTTGTCAGATATTTGGAGGATACCTGAGATCTCGAGGTAAGCTCTAGTTTAAAGTTGATAAAGTGTTGCATGTGGTTTGAAGACAATGCACACAGCAGGAAAGGGTTAACGACAAGGCATTTTCCTGCAGCCCGGACCCTCTCCACTCTCCCAGAGGCAGCAGCTGGGCCAGTTCATAGGTGGCCTTCCAGTGGTTTCCTACAGAGCAGAATGGGGCTGACGAGACAGGGCCCTTTCATCTTCCTCTTAGCATTAGAAAGTTTTTACATTTTGGCGCCTAGAGATCTAACGCAGTTTTCATAGATGCATGGCCTTCTGTTCATTCATCTAGTCTCCTTTTAGATGGCTTCCAGGTTTTTTTGATTATCATTAGTGCTTCATTGAACATCCCCACATATCTGTCCTTGTTGTTGTTGTTGTTTTGTGCTCTTGAGTCGGCCCTGACTCACTGCTGTCGAGTCGGATTCAATTCATAGTCACCCTTCCTTGGGTTTCCAAGGCGATATCACTATGGAAGTAGATTGCTCCATCTTCCTTCTGAGGAATAGCTGGTGGGTTTGAACCACCAGCCTTCTGGTTAGCAGTGAAATGCCTTAGGCACAGTGCCACCAGAGCTCCCAAAGAGACAGCCCGGTCTAGCTGGCGGGGAGCGGCTGGTGGGTTTGAACTGCTAGCCTTGAGCTTGGCAGGTGACTTGCCTTGGGCCCAAGGCCATCCCTTAGGGTCCATGTAAAAGTAGTTGTGTCAGATAATCCTTAGTATTGAAATCTCTGGGTCAAAGGATGTGTGTGTTTTAGATTTTTGACATTGCCATATTGTCCTTCCTAGAGGTTAACTCTAAAGAGTTCCAGATGGTTCAGTGATAAAAGTACTCAGCTGCTAACTGAAAGGTTGGCGGTATGGGAGAAAGATGTGGTGGCCTTTTGCCATAAAGATTGACAGCCTTGGAAACCCCATGAGGCAGTTGCATTCTGTCCTCTAGGGGTGCTGTGGGTCAGAATGGACTCCATGTTAGTGGGTGTGGTTTGGGCTTTGCTTCTGAAGATTGGCAGCCTTGGAGACCCAGTGGGCAGTTCCCCTCTGTCCTCTGGGGGCACTGTGGGTCAGGATTGACTCCACGGCATGGTTGGATGGTTTGTTAGGGGCTTTACCACATTACCCTCCAGCCAAAGTCATTACACTCTCATCCATACTGTGTGTCATATTTAAGTTCCAAAATTTTTGTCCAGTCTGATTGGGTGTGGGGGGGAGTTGTATCTTCTTCTTTTATTTTGTTACAATGTTTGTATTTTATCCTTTTGGCGGCTGGTTCCACCATAATTTCACTTTGCTTATACTTTGCGTTTTATTTTTCTTTCAGTCAAATGTTTAAATTGCAAGGGCGTCTCCGATACTTTTGACCCGTACCTCGATATAACATTGGAGATAAAGGTAATTTGATCATTGTTGTGATGGTTAAGATAAGTCATACTTTACACAACTTTACAGTTGATTGTAAATTAGACTGTGCTTGTGAGGGAGTGTGAACTGAACATTTCCTTGTGCTTAGACCTTCTTCGAAAGGCAGGTGTTCAAGCCTGCTAGCGGGCATCAGCACTTCATCTTGTTAGCGCACTCTGCACGGAAACCAGAAGGGATGGGCGCTTGCACTGGCGTCAGGCACAGGACGCTGCCGTCCTTTGGGTGGTGCCTCCTCAGGGAGCAGTCACATGCGGGTTCTTCAGAAAGGGGCTTGTTTCTTCCATTTTCTACACTCTCATTTTTTGTTTTTCTTAAGTTTTTGTTTTTCTCATTACAAATGTAGTTCATGCTTATGATAAAAATGACAGATATTGCAGATACGTGTGAACTCCTATCCCTAAGAATTCTTAGAAAGTTTGATATTGATGTGTGTGTGTGTATACATACTTTTTTTTGAAGTAATAAAAACCTTCTGCCTGTTTGGTCACTTGCTGTTTTCTTGTTGTTCTGCTCTGGGGGGCTTTCTGTGTAGTGTGTTCTTGGGGCAGTTGTGTGGGGGCCCCTGTGCAGAAATGCCCTCGCTGACTTCCTCACGTCCTTGCTAGTGGTTTCATGTGACGCTGCTTTAAGTAACCCCGCAGTGATCCACCTCTGGACGTGGTTGTGTTCCCCTTCACTCACTTTATAATAGGAGGGAGGGCGGGTTGACATGTTCGTGTATGACTGTGAACATCAAAACGAGGTAGGATGGCCTTTTTAGCGTAAAGATGCCCACTTGCCTCCTGCTTTTGTCCTTCCACTGAAGAGGCTGTGAGTAGTGATACGTGTGTGTTTCTCCCCAGGCCGCTCAGAGTGTCCCCAAGGCCCTAGAGCAGTTTGTGAAGCCGGAGCAGCTGGATGGCGAGAACTCCTACAAATGTAGCAAGTATGGAAGCTGTGGGTGTGACCGGGGGCCCACCCCAGAGGGGACTCGAGGGAGGCTGGGCTGGCCAGGGTCTGGGGTGTCTGGATAACCTCTCGACTCCCCGGAGAGCGGGCAGGGTCTGACTGTGTGCAAGCTCCTGAGGCACCTGGCCCTGGCCTCGGGGACTGGTGTGCGTTTGTAGGAGAGGGAGGGAGGGCCTTCCACACACCACTCCTCGTGCCGCCTCAGAGGCTCACGCAGCCTCGGGTGCCTGTGTTTGCACGCGGGCCTTCTGGTGACTGCTGTGTGACAGGCTGGGCTGGGGAGGCCCCTCCCAGGAGCGTTGGGCAGCTTTCTGTCCACGGTGGTTCCCCAGGCTCGGGGTGGTGTTCACGTTTCTTCATGGAGTCGGGACAGCCAGGTTTAAGAAGCCCTGTTTCAAACCCTTTAAGCAGATGATCCTGTATCGTCAGTAACGGGAACAGTTTTCATGACCAAGCATTGGCTTTCAGAGGAAGAAGGCCCCTTCTCTGAGGCTGCAGGGGCTCTCCTTTGCCCACCTCCAGGCCCTCCTGGTCTTTGTTTTCCTTCTCTTGTCAGGACAGGCCTCTGTTTTCACAGCATAGATACCCCCTTGAAAATCGGTTAGTTTTTCAGTTTGTTTGGAATTGAGGAAAAGCTGTAGTAACCTGATTTCAGGATTTTAGGTCATCTACAAGGTTTGGCATGTCAGAATTATATCCTCGTTTCCTTTCACACCAACTCAGAGGTTTCTTCCATGTTTTTAATTTTACTATTTTCACTGTTGCTTGGAGGGGCGGCATTTCTCACCTTGTACACTGCTTTGGAAACTCATACAGACTTTCTGAGAAACAACAAGGCAGAGACCACGGTACCGAACAACAGATATTCACTAACCGTCTCAATCCCTTGTCTCTGTTTGTTTCAAGGTGTAAAAAGATGGTTCCAGCCTCCAAGAGGTTCACCATACACAGATCGTCCAATGTTCTTACACTGTCTCTGAAACGGTTTGCAAATTTTACTGGTGGAAAAATTGCTAAGGTGTGTGGACAGCGTTCATGTCGCTAACCGCCTTTTACGTTGAGCCTTTCAGGGCTTACCTGTCAGTAGCTCTTAAGGGTAACAGACAACCTGATTGAACAGGTTTGTTGACTTGATTTGCTAAGTCCTTCCAGCATTTGGTAGTGTGAAAAAATGACGAGAAATTGAGCTAGTAGTTTAATGAGTGTGTTTGTGAGTGTGTTTTTCCTGTGTCCTTCCCTGACTAGACCTTCTGATGGTGGAACTGGTAACTGTTGTCCGCATTTGGCTTCCTAGTCCCTTTGTCATCCAGGGTAAGGAGGGACACGGAGCATGTGTGTGATTTGAACACCAGAGGACCTGCCAGCCGGGTCCTGCCCCTCGTCATTGTCCAGACTCTTACTGGCCCGTTTGTTTGTACACTGGACTTTTCCGTTTTACTCCCACCTGCTGAAGATCTGAAATGGTTAGAAACTCAATGGCATACAAGAGAAAGGGAACAACCCATTTCTGAGTTACTAAAAATAATGATGGTGACCCAAGTACAGGGATTCATTCCATTACTGTCTCCTTGGAAGGATTTGAAGAATTCACTTTAATGTGGATCTTTATTTGCTGAAAGGGAAAAAAATTCAGCGGGACGCATGAAATACACTTTACTCTGAGATTTGGGGACACACCCAGGCCCACCTGTCCTTTTGGAACGTGGTTGAGTGAGTTAGGTTTCTGCTGGACGTCACAGACCTCAGCGTTCTGCCTGACTCCCCCGAGCAGACCTGCTGCCCGAGCCTGCAGCCACGCGTGTAAAACGAGCTGGGCTTTCAGAAATGATGCTCTCTTCTCTTTGATTTCAATTTAGGATGTGAAATACCCCGAGTATCTTGACATTCGACCGTACATGTCCCAACCCAATGGAGAACCGATTATCTATGTCCTGTATGCAGTCCTGGTTCACACTGGTTTCAACTGCCACGCTGGCCATTACTTCTGCTACATAAAAGTAAGCTGTGCAGACGGTGCTGGTGGCCACTTGTAGACCAACACTCAAGGCTGCCCTGGCCTGGGGGGAAGTGCGCTTTGACAGCTAACAGCCCGTTTTTCTTGTATCTCTCTTGTTTACCTAATTATAGCGAATCTGTCTTCTTGGTTGTCTTGCAGGCTAGCAATGGCCTTTGGTATCAAATGAATGACTCCATTGTATCTACCAGTGATATTAGATCGGTACTCAGTCAACAAGCCTACGTTCTCTTTTATATCAGGTATGTCCTGAAAAGAAGTGTTCAGACTTGTGTTTGTGTGTGTGTGGTACCGGGAGCGTGTGTGCATGTGTGTACCTGTGTTGTGCTCTTCCTCTCGTCAGCATACTGAAGTCAGTATCGGGTTACCTTTAGAGCAGCAGCTTACTAAGTAGCGTTGCCGTGTGCCCAGACAGGAAGTGAGGTCGTCTGACTCTGCGGGATGAACCTGCTAGAGCTCTTCACTCTGGCAGGGGTAGGACAGGGATGGCTTATGTTGTAGGCAGCAACCAGGGTGGGCCTGAGGGCTGTGGGGGCCGTGGATGGAGGCTGGTGAGGGTCTCTGAGCAGCAGACAGGGCCACAGAGGCACCCATCCTCTGGGCAGGGGCACTGGCTGTCCTCTTGGGCCGGGACCTCCTGTCGCCAGCAGCTCTGCTGTGTGTTTCCTGTCTTGGTGGTACCGCATACTCTGACTTGTCAGTTCCATTTGCAGAAATGGGGCCTTTGAGAAAAATGTGATGTGTGCTTCCGTGTGTTGATGTTCATAACAGCTGAACATTACAAATACCCTAAAATGCCCATGATAGCAGAATAATCGAGTAAATAAAGTGTCTGTTTTCTTTTAATGGTCTGAGAAGGTGCCTGGGATATGAGGAGGAGGAGCGGTGTGACCCTTGACATTCTAGCTTCAGGAGTCCCGCGGGCTAAAGATGGAGGGTCACGCGAGCCTGCGTGCGCAGGTGGAGGCGTGTGTTTGTTTGTTTTTGTGATTTGAGTGAAAGTTACAGAGCAAATTCATTGTCCACACAACAGGTGGTAACGTTTTGTTTCGTGACGTTGATTGCAGTCCCCATAATGCGACAAGTCTGTTCTGCTTTCTGCCTGTAACTCCCTCTACTCTCAGTCCTTCTTTCCTGTGTGTTCCTGCCCCTGAGCCCTCTCCCTGTACACACTGCCCCTCTGGTCTCCCAGCGTTGATTGTTGTAAGGAGTGTACCTACTGGGTGTAAATGTTCACCTTATACGCCTGTGTTGTTTGGCTGGAAGCCATGAGAGTGAAGTTCCAGGCCCGAAGGCTGACCAGAGGCCATAGTCTTAGGGGTTTTACCAGTCTCTGTCAGAGCAGTAAGCTTGGTTGTTTTTATGATTTTGAGTTTCGTTGGGGGCTGTGTTTTGTTGTTTTACTTTTTATAGACGTTATAGATTTTCTATAATTGGTGTAGATTTATAATTAAAAAAAACTCACTGCTCTCGAGTTGGATTCAACTCATAGTCACCCCTCCTTGGGTTTCTGAGGCAGTATCACTACGGAAGTAGTTTGCCTAATCTTCCTTCCGCGGAGTGGCTGGCAGGTTTGAACCGCCAGTCTGGTGGCCGTAGTGCCTAAGGCATTTGACTGCTAACCAGAAGGCTGGCAGTTCAAATCCACCAGCCATTCTTCGGAAGGAAAGTTGGGCAATCTACTTCTGTAGTGATACCACCTCGGAAACCCAAGGAGGGGTCACTGTGAGTCGAAATCAACTCAACGGCAGTGAGTGAGATTTATAATTAGGACACTGTAAATAAAAGGAAACTCGCTTTCAGGTAGTGAGTGAGATTTATAATTAGGACACTGTAAATGAAAGGAAACCCGCTTTCAGGTAGTGGCATTCCCCGAATACACAGGTGAAAATGCCATTTATCCGCTCACTGCTCTTGTCTCCCAGTTGGACTGCCCAGCATTCATGTCAGCCTGAAGAGGGAGCGAGGCACTGTGCTTGGCTCTGTGCAGTGTAGCTAGCAGTGGGATAGTCTTCTTGTCGGGCTCTTATCTGAGGAGTTAACTGCTGTTGAATTTCCAGTTGCAGCTCCTCTCAGGCAACTCTGTACGTAACCATGAGTGGTGTCACTGTTTACCTCCAGGTCCCACGATGTGAAAAATGGAGGTGACCTTACTCATTCAGCCCACAGCCAAGGCCAGTCTTCCCCTCGACCAGTCATCGGTCAGCGGGTTGTCAACAATAAACAGGCCACCTCTGGGTTCATCGGCCCACAGCTTCCCTCTCATGTGATCAAGGTAATGCTTCGTGTCGTGTAACCTTTCATTGTCATCCTTAAGTTACAGTCCACCCCTCCAGTTCACATCGCAGTAGTTGCTCATTAGTCCCTGGGCTTGTGACACTCAGATGATTTGATCCCAGCCCTTTATTACAGGCTATCTCACATGCAGAAAACTGGCGTCTGCGTGTGACGATGGATGGAGAGAGCTGGGTGTCGAGGTTGTTGGTTGTTGAGTCAATGCCGACTCATGGCGACCCCGTGTGTCCAAGAGCGGAACTGCTCTGTGGGGTTTCCTTGGCTGTCACTTAAACAGAAGCATGTCACCAGGGCCGTTTTTTCATGGCATTGCTGGGTGGGTGTGAACCACCAGTGCAGTCAGCAGCCCAGAGCAGACCTTGTGCAACACCCACGAATAACGTTCAAGGAGACAACTTGGGTGTAAATAGATTGACATGCTAGCAAAGCTCACTTCTACTCTGAACTCTGCTCTCTGTAGATTATGTATTTGGGGATTGGTCACGAATGTCACGGGGAAGGCTCTCACTAAGATGGGTTGACACAGTGGCTGCCACTGTGGGCTCAGGTATAGCAAGGATTGTGAGGCTGGCGCAGGACCAGGCAGCTTTTTGTTCTATTGGTCCCTATCGATGGCACCTAACAGTGACAACAACAACAGCAACAAATGCCACTGATGCTGGACTCCAAGAAAGTGAGCTTTTCCAAGGACACTTTGATTTTGTGCATTTAGCCCTTTCAGGGTGTGGTATCTTCCGTGTGCACCCTGCTGCGTTGGACCATGCTCTCTGACGGCCCGTCGGGCAGTGCTGTAACAGGAAGCACAGAGGGGTCAGAGTAGTGGCCCACCTTCCTAGACTCCCCTGTGGAGATGACTTTACAGCCTGGCGACTGCACATGTCAGCAGCTTTTCAATTTGACTTTGTTTTGAGTTAGCAAACAGATCGTCTCGTTGAATGATGCTCGTTCATGGACTCTGGGCAGTGTTTAGATTGGTATGTGAGTCCCAACTCAGAAGCCCCTGGGAGCTGGGCAGGTGTGGCTCCTGGATGGGGACCCACAGACTCCAGTGAACTGGAGAGTGAGCCCGTGTGCGGGGCAGCTGCTCGTTTGTCAGGTGATTGGGCTTTTTACATGAAACGCCCACTTTGAAGATAAGGAGTAATTCAGATGTTTAAGAAAAGCTTGTGAAGATCCAGCAGTCCATCCCTAAATCACATTTCACTTGTGAGCCTCCAGTTTGCAACCTCAGGGGTAGAGCCACGGTTGTCAGACTTTGTAGCCAAACAAGTGAATGAGCAAAATCGGAGGCATGGCTTAGAGGGCAGCCTGCCATGGCCTCTTCTGTCTCTGCCCATCCAGCTCCTGAGCCAGTGGGAATCCCTTCCTCCTAGCACCTCTTCTGCTCCCAGGAAACTCAACTGAGGAGAACATATCTCAGTCCACGGTGAAAGGCTCCATTCACCTGCCAGATTGGGGGACAGTGTGTTTGGTTTGGGGTTGTGCTTTAGAATGTGCACCGACAAACATTGTCCCTGATTGTTGATTAATTGTCAGAAAACCTGACCTGTGAAAGGTATATAGTGGGTGGGGTCTGGATGAAAGAAAGGACAGGTGTTTCTAAGTGCCTAAAACATGTTACTCATACAAAGAAAAAGCAAGCTCAAAATGGGAAGGGCACATGGGCCAGACCATGTTCTGTGTCCATGACGTTGTTCTGGACTCTAACCTGCCTATGGTTTCTTCATTACAGAATCCACCTCACTTAAATGGGACTGGACCCTTGAAAGAGACTCCAAGCAGTTCCATGTCAAGCCCCAGTGGTAATTCCAGTGTCAACAGGGCCAGTCCTGGTAATGCTTCAACTTCTGTTCAAAACTGGTCTGTTAACAGATCCTCAGTTATTCCTGAGCATCCCAAGAAACAGAAGATCACCATCAGTATTCACAACAAGTTGCCTGTTCGCCATAGTCAGTCTCTCCCTAACCTTCGAAACAGCGCTCTGGAGAACCCGTCCAAGTCCGGTCCCTCCTCTACCATCACCAACCCTTCTGCAATACAGTCTACCTCGAGTGCGCCTCCAGCATCAGCTGCTGGTAAAATGACAAAGCAGGTCACCCCTGTGGAACCTTGTCCGAGGCCCGTGATGAACGGCAAGTCCAAGCTAAACGCCAGCGTGCTGGTGCCCTACGGCGCCGAGTCGTCAGAAGAGTCTGATGAGGAAGCCAAGGGGCTGGGCACGGAGGACGGTCTCGGGACGGCCAAGAGGTTTCACGCTTCTGTTCAAGACGCCGAGGACGACGCAGCTCCTCAGCATGAGCTGCAAGCGCCTGTCACCCTCAATGGTGCTGACACTGTGGACAGTGACCCAAAGGAAAACGGTCTGCCCTTTGACAGTGCCAGCTGCCAAATCCAGCCCGCTCCTCACTCAGAAAACCCCTTTTCTAAGGCCAATGGTCTCCCTGTGAAGGTGAGTGAGGGGCAGTTGGCAGGCTCTGCCTCGGCTGCCATTTGGTGCTCTGCTGGGCGAGGTTTCCATGGGCACAGTGGGCGATCTTAGTTGAGATGGACTTTGCTTTTCTATCCTAGTTGATGCCTGCGCCTTTGCCACCTCTCCCAGAAGACACAATCCTAGAGACCTTCAAACCTAGCAGCAAAGTGACAGGCTTGGCGGAAGAAACAAGGTAAGCAGAAGACACTTAGAGACCAGTGAGCCTGCGTGAGGGAGGGCCAGCAGTGTGGCCAGGGGGGCCGCGGTCTGACACTGTCAGGAACCTTCCCGGGCCTCTGGGTCCTGGGGAGACTTGGACAGTGGCTTTGGAGTCTATCAATTCATCTTTCTGAAAAGATAGCTGAAAAAAGTCCATGAACACATGACTTGTTGGAGTTAACGTTTTCTTCTGTGTAGCTGCTTGCTCTGCGATTAGGATGCCTGTCAGCACACGTCTGAATAAGACAGCACTAACTCATGTAATCCTTCGAATGACAAATATTCATAGATGCGCCAGGGTTGTAGGCCAGGGCTTCTCAGCGCTGTGAGGAACGAGGGTTTTCTAATACCCACTGCACTATTGTGAAATGAAGTTCGTGGCTAGAGCCTGCTACCATTTGATGTCGTGGAAAGTCAGTGTGTTGACCTGTGAGATAGCCTGCTGCCACATGATGTTGTAAAAAGTCGGTGTGGTGACCTGTCAGATAGCCCGTGAAGAGTCAGTGTGTTGACCTATTAGATAGCCTGTTGCCACTGATGTCGTAAAAAGTCAGTATGATGACCTAGTTGTTAGAACACCAAGGAAGGAAGGAAGCTGACACTAAGTTGGTGCCTTGGTATGTAACCGGGGGTGGGGGGTGGGGCTGTGCTCCTCCCTGACATGGCGGGGTGGGCGGGCAGGTGCTGCGTCTGCACACAGGTCCCCACCTGCGTGAGGCTATGAGAGCAGGCTTGCTGTCAACGACCCGAAGTTCTAAAGGTGGACATTTGGTGAAGTTCTGACCCAATGTTAGTGCCATTGTTTCTAGGTTTACATTTGCGTTCTTAAAAAGTTCAGTGTTTAAGATTGTGTAAATGATATCAAAACCAGGTTTTCCACCCACACCAATGTCAGGACATGTGAGATGTGGCTACACTTAGTCATGACGGGGAACTGCCCTGTGTTGTGGGGTCTCCATCACTGTGACAATCCCCACATGCCCCGCCCCCCATTTCCAGAGTGGCCCCTAGCAGGTGGGCCCGCTCTCACTGAGACACACATGAAATGCCATCGTTGGCACAGGCTGGAGCATCACTGAGACACACGTGAGATGCCATCGTTGGCACAGGCTGGAGCGATCCCACATGTACAGAACGACGCTCACCCCCAGAAGCCCCCAAGGTAGAATGGTGGCTCGCTTCTGTCCTTCCTGGTCCAGCTTAGTGGTCCGGGCTCACGTGCAGGGGAGCTGGTGCGTGTGGCTATACGGTGCCCCCGTCTGCCAGGACATGCGAGAGGTGCTCTCTGAGCCGGCTGAGACGCCCTCCCACGCTGTTGGTAACGTCTCTGCATCGACTCCCCAGGGACCCGCATGCTGTGGAGGCTGCTGGCAGCCCCCGTTATCCTGGAGACTAGAGCAGAAGCCCGAGAGCACGTAAGGGCGGAGTCAGTGATGACAGAAAGGGTTTTTTTCTTTTCTTTTTTTTTTTTTTT